CGCAGCCCCTGAGTTTGGACCTTAAACCATAAAAGTTGCTAATATAAAGCATGGGACCCAGAATCCGTGCCTCTGGATTTACGTGCCATTTCCAATAGGCTGCAGACGCCACTCCCAAATCGTAAAATTTGGAAATGAGACAAGACAATGCAAAAATCTAGGAAGATGGTCCTGTTCGAGGAGAAATCCTGACTGTTGGGGACAGGACAGTTAGGGTGTGTTTGGACATACAGCAAAAGGATGCCAGATCACCCTACTCAGACCTCGTGACACAAAGTAGTTGATGGCACAGCTTCATCCTCATTTCCTTGGCCGTTCTCCCTCTGTGAGATGTGAAAACTTGCCGCCTCCCTGCCCCCCCCCGTTTCTGTCTTTCCTCCCTTGCCGCTATATTGTTGAAAATCTTTGTATATAAACCTTTTCAGCTTCACTTAAGTGTCTTTCTTTGAGACAAAATTCTCAAAGTGTACATTTCCTAAAGTGTTGAGTGTGTGTGTGTGTGTGTGTGTGTGTGTGTGTGTGTGTGTGTGTGTATGCACGTGCATGTGGAGGTCAGAGGTCAGCACTGGGTAGCTTCCTCACTTGTTCTCTTTGCCTTATTTTGTAGACTTATTGAGTACATAGGGGCTTCTCCGAAAGCTTTGGACACTAGAAAAGACACTGTTCCTGGGACAGTTTGACTCTTTGTCTTCTCACACCCTGAGATATTGACCTCACATGATCTCCTGTGTCGGGCACTAGAAACCTATCCGGAAGTATTGACTGCAGAGCTAAAGTCACTCAGACTTCCCCACACGTGGCGTTTCAGGGCTTTGGCACACGTTAAGCATCTTATTATCAAAGGAGACAAGAGATTGTACAAAGGCTGATCCTAATAGAACACCTGAGCTACTGAACCAAGGATGAATGAACACCAAGTCTTAAGTGGTGGCCAGAACATCCATTTTATGAGTAGCCAGACTAGAAAGAAGCAGGACGCACTTTGGGCTGCTTATTATCTTCTCAGATGGCCATGAAGGCTCCGTATTTAAGCATGGGGGAGCTTAGTTGTGGAATCGGGGGCCACTTCCTCCGCTCTGAATCTCCACTCCACCCTGACCAGCTGTATGATGTCATACTTTTGAACCTCAATTTTTCTCATCTGAAAACTGGGAATAATAACAGTCTTACTCATGCCTCCTCTCCCTGGGTTTGCCATCTGTTCACTTCCTTCTTCTAAACCACGTTCTTTATTCTGCCTCGTATTTCTGGGAATAGCCTTGGTAACTTTTCAAGGGCAGGAATCCAGCCCTCACTGTCCCTGTAGTCCTCCAAGCCAGCCGCAGCACCTGCATGCAATGGGTTTATCAGCTGGGGCCCAAGCAGAAGGCAGAAATCACGGTTATTTGAACAGGAGGAATGTAGTATCAGGAGTTACTAGTATCTGATAGAGAGAACTACCAAGATGGGACGAGAACAAAGGTTACTGTAGAGCTAAGAGAGAATGCCCAAGGAAAGACAAACTTCGGGAGGACCCTTTCTCCATGGCTAAGGGGCCAGATGCTGACACCTCTGGGGAAGGTGTGGCTGTCACCCTCAGGATGGTGGAGTTCCTTAGGCTGCCCAAACCTCACATCTGGGTGCCAATCACTGAACAACAGAAAGTCTTCTGGGACACGGGCAAGGTGAGGTTAGAGGCCAGATGTGCCAAGCGAGTTGGCACACACTACCAACGCAAGGCTAAAATGCACACAGTGCCTGCATCAGGAGGGCCAGAGCGAAGTGGTTCCTGGGCCGGCAGCCAGGACTGCAAGGTCATTGAGTAACTGCCCTCCGGGCACACAGCAAGGCAGAACAAGGTCCCTTCTCACAGACTATACACACACCCTCCAGGATTCAAGCCTGAAAGAGACCAACCCTGTCTGCGCTAGCATCCCTGTATTGACCTCTATCGACAAAGCCTGAATAGTACAGGCTGTAGTGGAGAAATGGTCACAGGGTCCTACATCCTTAGAGCTGAGAAGCCATAATGTGATATGGGGGTAATTTTTATTTTTTTTAAGTTCTAGTCACAGTTGGGGAGATGGTTCAGTTAATAAGGTACTTGCCGCACGAGCAAGAAGAAGCAAGTTGAGTTTACATTCCCAGCACCCCCATAAAAGCCAGATGTGATGGCATGCCTGTGTAATTCCACCATTTGTGTGGATGGCAGAGAAACGAGGGTCCCCGGAGCCCTCTGTCCTGCCAATAGCCAGATGGATGAGATCTGAGTTCAATGAGAGACCCTGTCTCAAAAGATAAAGTTGAGGCTCCAGGGGGATGGCTCAGTCAGTAGAAGCATCTGCTAGCCAAGCCTGGGGACCTGAGTTCAAATTCCCAGCACCCAAGTAATTAGCCAAGCATGGCCATGCACTCCTGTAACTCTAGCTGTGTGTGAGCAAGAAGACAGCAGGATCACCAGAGCTTGTGGGCCACCAGCCTTGCTCCAGGAGCAGTGAGACCTCAAGGGAGTGAGGCAGAGAGTGAGAGAGCCAGACACCTGCCATCCTCCACAACACACACATACTCTCACAACCCACACGTGCAGGCTTAATTAATTCATCTTTAAAAAACAATAGGAGAGTTTATGACAAGACACCTGATATCAAGCTCGCTCCTTCCTTCTTTCTCCCTTGTCTTTCTTCTTCTTACCCTCTCTTTTCTCTCTCCCTCCCTCCTTCGCGCGCATGTGCGCGCGCACAAACACACACACACACACACACACAGATTGCCAGTGGCCCTCTTACACCTGCCTACTTCCCTCTCACCTATGTATGTCAGACCCCTTTGTTTCTTCTGTAGTTTGCTGTCTAGAAAGCCCCATCCCCTCAGGCATTCTGTTCTGTCTTCCTTCTCCTCTCGGCTCACACTTGGAGAGAGAGTGAGAGACCAGCTCTAACTCCCACAATCCCTCCTTTCACAACTGATTTCTCCGCTCAGTCTTGAATGGTTTGCCCACTGCCTGTCCCATTTCAAGGCAATCCACCTGTCCATCACAGACAGTAGGAGTGGCCGGAAGCTGGACTGCAGCGGGGAGGAACCTGGGTTCTTCTAAGGAGCCAAATTTTCTCTGCCTGTGAGGAAGGGGCCACAGGCATCTCAGGGCAGGCTGGAGACTCAGGCCCTGAGCAGTCTGAAAACATTTGTCGGTAAGGTCTCTAACCATATAGAAGAGCAGGCCTTCATGGGGCTGAGGAGATGGCTCCTTGAGTAAAACGCTTACTGATCCCCAGCATGAAAAGCTGTGTGTGGTGGCATGCAGTGCTGGGAGATGGCTGCAGAGGGTCCCCACAGCTCACTGGCCAGCCTGGCTAGCCTAAGGTCCACTGAGCTCCAGATTCAGTAAGACACTCTGTTTCAAAAGTAGGTAGGGTGTGATGGAGGAACCCTGGCTTGCACACATCATGCATGGCCACTTGCAAATACATACCAAAATTGAAGGAGAAGGGGAAAAGAGACAGAGGACAGAGCAGGCAAACGGCAGACTCAGCAGATAGTTTCCAGGATGACCGCTGAGCTAAAAATGTTCACCTGTCTCAGGTGAAGAGCCCTTGGGTGCTCCTCAGAAGGGTGTGGTAATAGGCTGCAGTGTTGGTGGGGAGCTACCATCTTGTTTTCACAGAGATCCCCATCCTGGATCCGTGGTAATGAATAATACCCTGGCATGAGATGGGGTGTGGGGGCTTCTTCCGAGGATAAAGTGGCCTTCCAGACCTAATCTGCTTATCATCCTTCAGAAAACGCCTCATCACCTCAGAACAAAATGTGTATGTGTGGCTCACCCGAAATATTTATTTATTTATTTATTTATTTATTTATTTATTTATTTATTTATTTAATAAATACACGTGCACCTGAATGCCAGAAGAGAGCATCAGATCCCAGTATAGATAGTCATGAGCCATCATGTGGTTTCTGGGACTTGAACTCAGGACCTCTGGAAGAGCAGACAGTGAGTGCTCTTAACTGCTGAGCTGTCTCTCCAGCCCCTGAATTCACACTCTTAAAAGTGATCAGGAAAAGTACACATTTGAGTTGGGGATGTGGCTCAGTTGGCAGAGTGCTTTCTTGGCATACATGAGGCCCTTTCGGTTCTTAGACCAGGCATGTAATGCAGCACTAGGAAGGCAGAGGCAGAAGGATCTGAAGATCAAGGTTGTATTTGCCAACCTGGGCAATGAAGAAACACTGTCTCAAGAAAGAAAAGACCAGGGCCTGGTGACACACCCCTTTAATCCCAGCCTTCAAGAGGCAGAACTGGGCGAAGGAAAGGGTTTGTGGTTTATTTTCTTTGTGCCTATCTCCGTTTTCTGCAATGTGAGTGTACTGTTTGTGAATTAAATTCGTATGAACGTTAATGAGGAGCTGGCTCCATGGCCCAGCAGGTAAAGGCGTCTGCTGCCAAGGCTGACAACTTGAGTTAGATCCCCAGGACCCATATGATGGAGAGAGAGCCGACTTGAGCAGCTTGTCCTCTGACCTCCACATGGACACTGGGGCACGTGTGCACACAAAGAAATAAATAAGCATGAGAACATTTTTTTTTAATTAATGAAAAGGCACGTGTAGTAGCATTCTCCTCCTAACCTTGGGCTGTGTCTTTGCTTTTTGTCTCAGACCCTCCTCAGCTTCCTCTCAGATGAGCTGCCAAAACTCAGCAGTTTCCAATTTTTTTGGAAGAGATTTTTGGGCAAGATTTATTTCCTCATTCTTGAACTTCTAAAAACAGCCCGCTTTTTCATCTACCCCTCAGCATGCGATGACAGATTCTACACCTGCCTCTGACGTGACAAAACCTAAGTGAGGAATGAAAGCCTGTCAGGATTCTCGCACATTCTGTGGCAGGCAAAGCTAGGGGGCGTGGGGCCACGGGACGATGAGCTGTGTGGGGTGTCATGTTGCCTCAGCCGTGGATGTCCTGACAGCGGGCACTCACCAAGGTTTCATCCGCCGAGCTCTGATGCGCTGCTCTGTCCTTGCAGATTTTTGACAATGAGGCCAAAGACTTGGAGAGAGAAGTGTGCTTTATCGACATTGCCTGTGATGAAATTCCAGAACGCTACTACAAAGAATCCGAGGTAAGTGATCAAAATGGAAGCAGTTATGTGTCTGTCGAGTCACTCATTCCACAGTCATTCATGAAGCACTTCCTGTCCTAGGAGCCTTCCATCTGTCTTTATGGTCATTTGGTTTCGTCTCAACATCTCACTGGGTTCTTTTGTTTTGTTTTGTTTTTTAAGATTTTTTTTTATTATTTATACATTATTCTGCCTGCATGTGTGCCTGCACACCAGTAGAGGGCACAAGATCTCATTAAAGATGGTTGTGAGCTACCATGTGGTTGCCTGGGAATCGAACTCAGGACGTTTGGAAGAAGAGAAGAACAGCTGGTGCTCTTAACCTCTGAGCCATCCCTTCAGCCCCTCACTGGGTTCTTTAAGTTGTTGTTGCTGTTTTAATTTAATGTGTATGAGTATTTTCTGTACTACACCAAATGAACGCAGTGCCTACAGAGGCCAAAAGAGGGCATCAGATGCCCCGGAGCTGGTGCTTATGAGCTGCCATGTGGGTGCTGGGAATTGAACCCAGGTCCTCTGGAATATCAGCCAGTGCTCTTAACCACTGAGCCATCTCCACAGCCATCTCTGGGTAGTCTCAAACTGGAGTCCCCGTTTCCAGCACTGGCCTCCTGCTGCTGCTTTGTTTTCATTTGGTTTTTCTTATCCTCCCAACTTGCTCATCATCCCACTTGACATCAGGATTCCTGGGGCGAAGCATCCAACACATTGGTCTTTCTGAACACAGCAGCCTGTCTGTGTGAGGACGCAGACAGTATTTCATTTCTGTCTTTGGAGTTTAACATAAAGAAAATCCTCAATCAAGCCTCAAAACTTTGATGGCTCGTGTTGGCCCAGAAACCACCCTCCTAAAATAGTAGGCACCTGCCTGGGGGCTTCTTTTCTTGGCGGAGAATGCATGAACGAGGACATCTTCCCCTCTGGCTTGTCCCCTATCAGACTCTGCCCTCCACCTTGCTGCTCCCCTCGTGTCACTGTTGGTGCCAGTCATTATTTATATCCTGTCGCATTAATGGCTGCTGATGGAACTGGGGTGACCCGCTTGTAAACAGTGTCCCAGTCCTGGGATGACAACAAATTCAGGGCTATTTTTGTTGTTCAGCTACATGCAGCTAATCACAGTATGTTTAGAATCCGGGCCCAGATTTGTCCTTGAGCTATAACATGTGGACCTTGAAGCTGCACTCTCTCAGACTCATTGAGGCTGATTGGAGAGGCCATGCACACATCCAGTAAAAGGAAATTCCAGGCTACCGAGATGGTTGTGTGGCTAGAGGCGCTTGCCGCCAAGTCTTGACACTCCCAAGTTCAGTCCCCAGGACCCACATGGTAGAAGAAGGACAGACAGACGTCCACACGTGCCCTCTAATCTCCATACCCACACTGTGTTCATACACTTCCACATGCATGTGCACACACAGGGAAATGAATAAATAAGTACATGAAGAAAAAAATGTTTTATTTCAACATGAGTCTGGAGGTTATAAACTGGACTGCTATGTGATATAGATATTTACCTATTTAGGGATTTGTTTGGCTAGCAAAGCCTTACTTGGTTTTAGCAGCTTCCCGCCTGCTTCTCTGCAGACTGGGATTCATGAGCTTCAGTCTCACAGAGAGCTGAAGAAAAGCCATTTTGAATCTCTCTGTGTCACACACATTCATCCAAAGGCTGAGCGTGTTGTTGTCTTCAGCTTTATTAGACTCTCTGTGGCCAGCCACACCTGTGTGCTTTAAGAAAAACAAAGTTGGAGCTGGAGAGACGGCTCAGCAGTTAAAAGCACTGATTGCTCTTCGGGAGGACCCGGGTTCGATCCCAGCATCGACGTGTGGCGGCTAGCAAACATCTGTAACTTCAGTCACAGGTCTGAAGCCTCCTTCCGACCTCGGCAACCACTGCACACACATGCAAACAGAACACTCATACACATAAAATAATAAGTAAGTAAATCACAAAAAAGGTTTTCAAAAGAAAATAAAATGTAAGGGTCCAGACACACTTTTGCACGTTTGGGAGGTTGAAGCTGAGGAGTCTGAGGCCAGCCGGGGCATCGTAAATAGACCTCATCTTAGTAACAGCAGAAAGAAAGAGAGAGAGGGTAGACAAGAGACGCAGGAAGAAGGGATGATTAGATGAAATTAAAAAGAAATTTTGGGGAGTTGTATTAGTTTTCTGTTCTATTTCTGGGAGAAGACGCACATGCCACAGAACTCGTGGTCCAAGGAAACTTTTTTTGTTTGTTTTGGTTTCTGAGACCGGGTCTTAGCCCTGGCTTTTATTATAGTTTAGTTTGTAGACATACAAGTTTGTGTTGGAGGCCAGAGGTTGAGGTGCGGTATCTTCCTCAATGCCTCTTTACCCTATTTTATTTTTGAAGATTCATTTCAGTTATATTTTTAAAGTGTGTGTGTGTGTGTGTGTGTGTGTGTGTGTGTGTGTGTGTGTGTACGCGCTCTCAAGATTGCACACATGACTGTGGAACCCAGAAGGAGACATCAGATCTGGAGCTGGAGTTACAGGTGTCTATGAGCTGTCAGACATGGGTGCCAGGACTCCTCCGGAAATGCTAGTAACCTAACCGCTGAGCCATCTCTCCAGCCCGCCGTCTTGGTTTTTGAGGCGGGGTCTCTCATTGATCCTGAAGCTCACTGATTTGGCTGGACACGCTGGCTAGCAAGTCCCCTTGTCTCCACCTCCTCTAGGGTTACAACCTCTGGGGTGCCTGGCTCTTTCACATGGGTGCTGAGGATTCAAACTTGGGTCTTCTGCTCGAGTGGCGAGCATGTTACCAGCTGAGCCATCTCCCCAGCCCCTGAGCCTCCTTCAGAGCTCAGCCCAAACACGGCTTCCCTTCAGTGAGCTTTCCTGAGGCCAGTGCTCCTCTGGTTGCTCCCCTGGAACGCCTCTCTAGCCCATGGCTTCTAGCTGACGCTATTGTCTGCTAATTGTTTTAGATCTTGCCAGCTCATGCTGGCTCATCCCGTCCCACGAGCTTCACAAAGATGAGAGCTCACATCTCCTTCCTTTTCACATTTCACCAGCGACGTTAACACCAGCTGCAAGCAGATGCTCACTCAACACTCGTTGGAAGGAGCGAGTGAAGGCCAAGGGCTTTGTTTTTCCTACCAGCAGCAGTAATTTCCAAGCAAGTGCCATCAAAGAGAATGGATCTGTCGCCGTTAAACTACCAGTTGTGAATCAGAGTTCTTTTCGCTTAGTCTGAGACGTACTGTCTCATGGGCCGCTCTCCCATCGATCCTTTGCAGCATCATAAGCAAGCACATGGGCAGAAGCTGCTGGGGTGGGGGTGGGGTTATTTGGTTAGAAGGGTTGTGGGTGGGTTTGGATTTGGGGGGTTTGGTTTTTTTAGTTTTTTGGTTTTTCGAGACAGGGTTTCTCTGTGTAGCCTTGGCTGTCTTGGACTCCATTTGTAGACAGCAGTCCTCCTGTCTCAGCCTCTCTGAGTTCCCGGATCAAAGGTGTGCGCCACCGTGCCCAGCTGGGGGTGGATTTTTTGGTGCTAAGAAATCCTCACTGAGTTTTTCTGGCACACACCTGCGTCTCCACCAGTCTGCTCTCCCACACACGGTCACCCAGGCCAAACGAGGGCACGGAAGCTTTCTTTCTCTTTTCCCGTTCCCTCCCCACCAGCCTCTGAAGGACGCATTCAGGAATGCCGCTCTCATTAAGGTGACCAGAGCTAGGAATTTTCCACTCGCTGGCTCCCACCTCACAGATCTCTTGCCGCCACTAACTGGGGACTCAGGAGGAGCTGAGGGCCCAGCCTGAGGCTCTGCTTAATTCTGGTCCTGCAGGGTTCCTGTTTCCTACCAAATGCACAGCCGGAGCAACAGCTCCTAAAACCTCTTAGACTCAGTTTCACTCCCTTTTTTAACTTTAATTCTTAATTTAAATTTAATTTCTAATTTATATGCCTGTATCTGTGTGTCTGTGCATCTGTATATGCGTGCATACCACGTGTGTGCAGATGCCCACGGAGGCAAGAAGAGAGCATCAGGTCCCTTAGAGCTGGGCATTGGGGACAGTTCTGAGCCACCTGACGTGGGTGCCGAGCAGCAAATGCTCGTAACCACTGGACCATCCTACCAGCCCCTCAAGTTTTGTTTTTATGTCAACAAGGAGCGAAAGGCTAATCGAGGTAGTAGCTGGTTCCCTCCGGAAGTTTCCATCTGGGTAGCTGGCGCTCTCGCACGACCAACCCACAGTTTTATCCGGTAAAGCAAATGGTGAGAGGTCTTGGGGCCAAAGCAATCTCGACCTGTTCTTAAACTTTAAATGGGTATGAAAGCCCAGCTCACTGGCGTGGAGCCAGCCGTGGAATCCGAGTGCCCAGTGGGCTGCCTTTGGTAAGCAGAACTGGCGCTGAGGATGAGCTGAACGCTGGGTTAAGGTCCCCGATCATGTGCATTGGTGTTTTGCCTGCACGTATGTCTTCTGTGTGAGCGGCCACGTGGGTGCTGGGAATTGAACCCGGGTCCTTTGGAAGGGCAGTCGGTGTTCTTAACCTCTGAGCCAGCATTTTCTTTTTAAGTGGAGCAGAGAGATGGCTCCGTGGGTAAAGTGCCCTTCTGCAAGCTCCAGGAACTGAGTTTGGAGCCCTAGGACCCACGTTAAAACCCAAAGGTTCCTATGACAGCATATGTCTGTAACCACAGGGAGCAGAGATCCCCAAAGCTCACTGGGCAGCCAGTAGAGGCGACCAGAGAGCACCGGGTTCAGTACGGTAGAGAAGGTCGGAGGTGCCTACCCTGTGTGGATCTCCGGACTCGGCCCGTGCACGCACGGCTATGCTCACTCACATTTGCACAGCACGCAAAATCAGCATGAATTGGGGGTGTGTGTGTCAGAGAGAGCACCTCTGTTAAGCAACCCAGACACAGAGCCGGCCCTGTGTGGAATGCAGAGCGTTCTTCGTGCCAGCCAAGTCGCAAGCCCTGGCCCGGTAGTGCCAGCAGAGCAAGAGGGTGAAGAGGAGCTCTGCCCAATACCCAGCCTCTCGCTTCTGCCAAGGTCTCCGTCCTGACTCTGCCAAGAGCTCAAGGTGAAGATCCCAGTGAAGGAGAGAGGGACCCGTCTGGAAGGCTGAGGCGGGAGTTTCAGGGGTGTAAGACCCAAACCTCACTTCCTGCCTGCAGACCTGGTCCACCCTGTGCGGTCTCAAAGTCAAGTTCACAGAGATCTCAGATGAGGCGGATGGTGTCGACCAGCGTTTTGTCTGGTTCTTTTGCCTGATTGCTTAGTGCGTTGCTTCTGAGGCTTGGCTTCCATAATAACTGCAAAGAGAAAATAACACTGTTTATTGGCCTCGTCGCTGCTGCCCCTACAGCCCCAACCACCCCTGGCCAGAGACACAGCTAGCCAGGTGTAGGAGGGCATGTCTTGTAAAATTTCAGATAGTACTAAGGGGCAGGGGAAGAAAAAAATAAATGGAATTTCCTAGTCAACCAAATGGAGGGTAGCCAGGCATGGGGGCGCACACCTTTAATCCCAGCACTAGGGGAGGCAGAGATGGGCATATGGCTGTGAGTTCAAGCCAGCCTGGTCTACAAAGCAAGTCCAGGACAGCCAGGGCTACACAGAGAAACCCTGTCTCAAAAAAAAAAAAACAGGAAAAAGAAAAAACCGTGCAAGGAGAGCTGGACATGGTAGCCCACCCTCCAGTCCCAGCACTCAGGAGGCAGAGGCAAGCAGACTTCTGTGAGTGTAAGGCCAGCCTGGTCTGCAGATGGAGTTCCGAGAGCGGGGAGGGGGGAGGGGAAAGGGGATTGTGGATTGCTGTTGGCAGTGGTGATGGTTTTGTTTTCGTATGCTTGCTTGGCTTTTTGTGGTTTTGTTTTGTCTCTAGATTTATTTTATTTTATGTGTACAAGTGTTTTGCCTGCGTGTACGTAAGGGACCACAGGTGTGCAGGCTGGGAGAAGGCTTTGGATCCTCTAACAGTGGAGTTACAGCTGTTTGTGAGCTGCCATGTGGCTGCTGGGAATGAAACCCAGGTCCCCGGGGAAGAGCAGCCAGTGCTCTTGACCACCAAGCGTCTCTCTGACTGGACACTGCCTTTTGAGCTTGACTTTCTTGTTACACAGGAACAAGAAAGCCCTGTCAGCTTAGAGAATGTGAGTGATCTTACTGGTGATAGAGCTTAGTCATTTTAGTGGGCAGATTTAGTTTTTGAACTTGAATAGCCATGAAGAAGAGTCACACAGGGCTCAGCCATTAAGAGCACTTGCTGTTCTCATAGAAGTCCCAGATTCATTTCCCAGCTCCCAGTCAGACATGTGTGTGTTCCAGTGTGTGGGTGCATTCACACCCGCAGATAGATTAGATAGATACATAGATAGATGGATTGATAGAAGGGAAGGAGTCCCATGAGGCTGTCCTAGCAGCATGGCCCCTCAAGTGGTACAATGGAGGATATTTAGATGGAATTTGATTTAGGACTTTCTCCTTGGACTGAGGTGACTCTTAAAACTCAGTCTCCAGTTCCCTGGATTATACTCTCCCTGGCCCGAAGCATCCTTAGCAGCTGGTTCATCATTCACAGCCGTCTAAAACAGTTTGTTGATGCGACTCTTAAGGGAGAGAGAAGAGAACAAAGAGAGACACATCTAACTTTTCCAATGACTGTCAAGGGTGAGAGATAAATGCTGTTTGCTAAGGCCCCCAGAAAAGGAACAGAGGTGCCAGATGAGTAAATCCTGCTGTCCTTAGCTGTTCCCTTCCAAACCTCGAAGCTCTGGCAAATTAAAATATTCTCATTTGCATTTGCATCTCAGTGGTTAAGAGTGCTGAAGATTCTCAGTTACCTCCAAAGGGCCATGTTGGCCGAGCTATCTCATGCGAGGACAAGCGGTTAAGTTAAATCTGTTACTGTTGTTGTTTTTGTCCACCACCCCCATCTGTTTCTTTCTGAGAATGCAGCTGTTTGGAGATGGGTTCCCAGTGCCTCCTGGGTAATAAGAGGAGTAACAGTTTGCTCAGTGTGAGGGAAATAACTAAGTATCCGTGGCCAGAGTGGCACCTTGTGAGAATCTTGGAACGTAGGGGTAGGAAGGGAAAAAGATTGAAGGGATGGGTCCCCAGCAGCCTGGACCTGGACCCCTACCATCACCAGGGCCTGGGTGATGCTAGTGCTTTTGAAATTCAAGACAAGGCTGGGTATGGCCCAGTGGCATGGTGTTTGTCATGTCTGGTATGTGCAGAAACACTGGTTCCATCCCTAGCATAGAAAGAAAGAAGAAACAGGGAGGGAGGGAAAGAAGTAAAGGAAGTCGCTCTGATGGTCACCTCTAGACATAGGAAGGAAGGCAAGCAGGAAGAAAGGAAAGGAGGAAGTCCAGAAGGAAAAAGGCAGGCAGGCAGGCAGGCAGGCAGGCTGGTGTTGGTAGCCACCTCTGGACATAGCCTGAGCAGCTGTCTTACACAACCCTGAGAACATGTTTCAGCATAGATTTGCTCTTCTGCTTCTTCAGTGTCTGGAACAACTCTGCAGCTGTCATTTCCCAAGGGGTCAACATGGGAGAGCCACTGCCGCATAGGAAGGCTGAAACCAGCCTGGGTTCTGTGAAACCTTTTGTTCACAAAACTAGTAGCCCATGATGCCCCAGAACTAATATCCCTCATCCCAAACCAGGCCATTGTTGAAATGGTGTTTGTAGCGTCTATACCAGAGCAGAATGCAGAGATGGCATTATTTTAAACTCAGTGCATGCTGTCCCTGCCCTTCACAGTAACGCCTTCTCTCACTAGCCACATGGGTGTGCCATTTTCCTGTGCCCCTCACACAGGCAGCAGGTGTGAAGTGGCCCAGTGATGTCCTGTCTTTTTCTTTCCTTTTAACAATGTTATTTATATGTGGGACTTTTGCAGGAGTGTGCCATGTGTGCACAGGTGCCCATGGAGGCCAGGAGAGGGTGTCAGAGCTCCAAGAATTACGGGTGGTTATGAGCCACCTAACAAGGGTGCTGGGAACCAAGCCCAGGTCCTCTGCAAGAGCAGCAGCTGCCCTTAACCAACAAGCCATCTCTCTAGCGCCCTCTGTCTTTTTTTTCTCTAAAGCAGAGTCACTTCCCACATCCCAGGCTGGCCTTAAAACTTCTAATCCTCCTTCTGCGTCAGCCTCTCAGTGGCAGGGTTGCAGGCCTGATCCACCACACCCGGGTGCAGTTTGCTCATCCCACTCCCGTCAGGTGGACACTGAAGGTGGGTCCAGTCTGTCTCTGGTAGTCATCACAAATCTCTCCCGTTTGCCCAGCATTTCTGAAGAGCAGGTTTCGCCTCCGTGTGTGCATCTGAACGTTGTATGTGTGTGAGCATATGGCACCCGTGTGTGGAAGCCACAGATCAACATTACATGTCTTCCTCAACCATGCTCCACCTGATTTAATGTGTGTGTCCATACGCATAGAGGTCAGAAGATAACTTGTAGAAATCAGTTCTCTCCTTCCACCATATGGGTCTCTAGGCTTGAACTCAGGTCTTCAGGCTGGGTGGCAAGTGCCTTTATCCACTGAGCCACCCCGGCTACCCTCCTCCACCTTGCTTTTTAAGATAAAACCAGACATGATGATATGTACCTATAATCCTAGAAATCAAGGGACAGAGAGAGGGATCCTGGGCTTCACTGGCCAGCCACTACAGCCTGCCTGTTAGCTCCTACTTCTATAAGAGTCCCCTTTAAAAAAAAAAAAAAAAAAAAAAAAAAAAAAACAGAACGGAGGGCAATTGAGGAAGACACCCGACGCTGATTTCTGGCCTGAATGTACAAGTGTATGCACACATACATACAAGCAGTCCAAAGGCCGAGAAACAACTGGGCCTGCTGAAGAGTTATCTGTGCCAGAGACGACATCTAGAGCCCATCATTTTTGCTCAAGCTCACCATTTTCTGTTCAGATGACTCACCCTCATGTGAAGAGGGGCCTGGCTCTGGAAGGACCCTGAGATGGCCACAGCCACCATGCTTCTTTGTCATCTGTCTCTCTTCCCCTCAGAAGCACGAGGGGAGAAAGGAAATGAGGTGCCACCAAGGCAAGGACCAGCTTAGTCCTTGTCAAACAGTGAAGTTCATCCTGGTTTCATTTCTGTTTCTGTGATTAAAAGCAGCTCAGGGGAAAAAGGAGCTTGTCGCAGAGAAGTCCTATGGCATGAACTTGAAGCAGCTAGTCATGTAATTAACATTTGCAGTCTGGACCAGAGAACAACAGATGCTTGCAGACAGGGTGCTTGCTTTTTCCTACTCACACAACTCTGGACCCGCAGCCTAGGGAATGACACCACCCACAGTGGGCTGGGTCGTCAAGACGGCCTGCCACAGACATGCTCACTGGCCAACCACCTCTAGACAATCCCTCAGCTGAGACGCTCCTCACAAGTGATTCTAGGTTGTGTCAGGTTGACAGTTATGAACTAAGGAGGCTAGAGAAATGGCTCAGCAGTTAAAATCCTGCTGCTCTTCTGGAAAGTCAACATTCCATTCCTAGCAAACACACAATGAAAAATAACAACAGATAAATATATTTAAAAAAAATAAAAATAAATAAATAACCATCACCCAGCATTTGAAAAGGATTTCCTTCTGCTTTGACTCTTCTGTTCATCTGGAGAAGAGTTACAGAGCCTGTGGCTCAAGGCAAGCGAGTGCCTTTGGCAGGTGGCTGACACAGTGGCACTCTGGAAGTTTGTTTGTTTGCCTGGTGCTTTTCCGTCAGCACCATGAGTCAGGGAGAGAGGCAGAAGTGTGATTCTGATGACAGGCCCCCATTCCTAGACTCTCAAAACCCTCTGCAGCCTCATCAAGATGTTTCAGAAACTGAAGCCATTTGTGCTGCATAGAAGAGTTACCAAAAATGTATTCTCACTTCTCTTGTGGTTTAACCTCATTCCAGATGCCGAGTATCTGATTCAGCATCTCTAAGAAACCTTAGAACTTAAATTCACTGCTCTGCCAAGTTTGGGCAATCTGTTCCTTCGAGATGGAGGATGGTGCCTGCCTTAGCTCATTTTCTTGTGGTACAGCAGCATACCACAGGCCAGTTAATTTGTAAACAACAGAAGTTCATTTGCTCACAGCTCTAGAGACCAGGATACCCAAGAGTCTATTGCTGACATCCGGTGAAGGGTTTATGCTGCTTTATACATGGTAGATGGGCAAGGAGGCCATGCAAGGCCTAGGACCTCTTTGCTTGCTGTGTGTGTGGAGTGGCTAGCAGCCACTCCAGGTCTGAGGGGACCTGACTTCTCT